TTTTTGAGACAGAGTCTTACACTGTCTCTCCTGCTGGAGTGCAGTGGTGCAATCTCAGCTCACTGCAACCTCCATCTCCTGGGTTCAAGTGATTCTCCTGCCTCAGCCTCCCAAGTACCTGGGATTATAGGTGCCCACCACCACACCCAGCTAATATTTTGTATTTTTAGTAGAGACAGGTTTTGCCATGTTGGCCAGTCTGGTCTCGAACTCCTGACCTCGTGATTTGCCCACCTCAGCCTCCCAAAGTGCTGGGATTACAGGCATGAGCCACCTTGCCCAGCCTATTTTCCTTTCATTCTAATATCTATAATACCTACTTGATTTCTTTCCTCCTGACACCCTAAAATTTTGTTGGTTGTGCCTTCAAAATATAGCCAGAGTTCTGCCATTTATCATTCCCACTACCACCTCCTTGGTCTAAGATGCCATCATCTCTTGCGTGAACTATAGCAGTGGCCTCACAGTGGGTCTGCCAACATCTGTCTTTGCCTCCCTTTCTCCCCTGGCAGCCTATGCTCCACACAGCAGCCAAATTAATCCTGTAAGAATGTAAGTTAGATAATATTTTTCCTCTGCTACAAAACATTACGGCGAATTCTCATCTCACAGAGAACAAAAGCCAGGGTTGTTAATATTCTGTTTCTAAGTGGTGTCTGTGCTTTTGTATGTAGTTATAATTGATTCGCTTTTGTTTTTAGATGATATTCTATTGCAAGAAAATAACTCATTTTATCAACCCACCTTTCATCTATTAACACTGGGGAACTTTAATTTCTATTACTATTATAAGTAATGCTGCCACAACAAGAAATGCTAAGGGAAACACCTAAGGATGCAGGAAACTATATAAGATGTAAATTCAGAAGTACAGGAAGGAATGAATAACTCTTATATTGTGGTCAATTGATTTTTAACAAGAGTGCCAAGAAAATTCAACAGGAAAAAATAGTCTTTGCAATGAATGGTGTTGGGACAACTGAATATTCAGATGCAAAAGATCAAAGCTGGACCCCTACATCACACAATACACAAAAATTAACTCAAAGCAGATCCTTGACCTGAAAGTAAGAGTTAAACTGTAAAACTCTTAAAAGAAAGCCTATAACTTTGTGACTTTGGGTCAGGTGATGGTTTCTTAATATGATACCAAAATTATAGCAACAAAAGAAAAAATAGGTAAATTGGACTTTATCAAAATGAAAAGCATTTTTTTTTTTTTAAACTGTGAATATATTTTTTATTTAGTCATTCTGTTTACAACTGAAACTCTAGGAACTCAAAATTAACATCCCTGCCCGTGAGCTTCTTATAGACACCAGAAAAAGTTTCAACCTTGTGTTCCACGTTGTTCTGCTGTGCTTTGTCCAAATGAACGTTTATGTGCCAGCTGCCATCCAGTTTCATGCGGATTCTCTTACCCACAATTTCACTTGGGAAGACCAGGTCCTCAAGGATTGCATCGTGCACCGCTGTCAGTTTATGGCTCCTGGGACGCTTATGTTTATTTTTTGTACGGCTTTTTCAAGTTGGCTTAGGCAGAATTCCCCTCTGAGCGATAAAGACAACATGCTTCCCACTGAACTTTTTTTCCAATTCGTGTACTAGCCGGACTTGGATTTTCTGGAAAGATTTTAGTTGAGGAACAGGAACAAAGATTATGATAGCTTTCCGGCCACCACCAACTTCAATTTCCTTGGCTGCCGTAATATTCAGCTCCCTGAGCTGAGCCTTGAGGTCCGAGTTCATCTCCAGCTCCAGAAGAGCCTGGGAAATGCCGGACTCGAACTCATCTGGCTTCTCGCCATTGGGCTTCACAATCTTGGCGCTTGAACTGAACATGGCTTTCTCCTTGGTGAGTGCTGACTTAGGAAAAAAAATGAAAAGCTTTTGTACTTCAAAGGACATCATCAATACAATAAAGATAACACATGGAATTGGAGAAAATATTTCCTAGTCATATGTCAGGTATGGGATTTGTATCCAGAAAAATTAAAAAATTCTTGCAACTCCACAGTAAAAACACAATTCAATTTAAAACACGAGCAAAGTGCCAGATGCGGGGGCACATGCCTATAATCCTAGCACTTTCGGAGGCTAAGGCAGATGGATTGCTTGAGCCCAGGAGTTCAAGACCAGCCTGAGCAATATAGTGAGACCCCAATCTCTACAAAAAAGATGCTAAAATTAGCTCAGCATGGTGCCTGCGCCTGCAGTTGGCCAGCTACTTGGGAGGCTGAGGTGGAAGAATCACT